CTGATTCTCAGAACACACAAAAAAGTCACGAAAGCTTACTTTAAGGAGAAATTCTAAAGATTATTAGCAATTTTTTTAGAGTAAACCAGGGGGAAGGAAAACAAAGCAGGGAAACCAAGTGAGACTTGCAATTTTGTCTACCACATGTAAATGTGCAGATGGTTGACATATCTAAAGCAATCCTGGCAACGGTCTTGCATGCATCATCCCAGTAAGCACATTTATAACAGGCAGCCCATGTACCTGGCTCGACACAGGATGCAAAACATGTATTAGACATGGCTCATTCCAGACCTGGTCCCTGGCTTCAAGCTAATTCACCATGCAGTTGGCAATATAAGACACACACCCGACAAGTGGACACACAAGTGCAGGCATACAATTCACGCCACCGAGCAGCCTTGCCTGTGATCTGAATACATCCCTTTCCTCTTTGGGAACTGAAACCACACGATGAAGCATTTCAGGCACAACAAATGGGTGACAGAGGCATGATAGGCCTGACTTTAAAGTTATCTTAAAACACCTTCTGTATTTCGGCTTCATCTTTCATAAAGGCAGAATCAGAACAGTTTCCACTACATATGTCTTCTCTTTGCTTTCTCTTAGTGTGGACAATGATGCTGGCTGAACTTAGAGGGGTTTGGAGACAATGAATCTCTGGTTAAGCAAGGTCACAAATAAGGGTTGTTACAGTTGAGGAAAGAGAGGTTATCAGTTTTGGCTAAACCCAAAACAGCAGCGGTCTCATGTAAAAGAAGACTGAAGGCAGGTAGTCTACGCCCATGCTTCAAGGACCAAAGCTGCTTCTCTCCTGCTGTTCCACCAACCCTCACCAAGAGGCTTCCACCTCATTGCTTCAAGATGGCTGCATGGGCTCCAGCCATTATGTCTGGATTTTAGCCAGCAGGAAAGAGGGTGGAGAGAAGAAGGGCATGCCCCTCCCTTTAAGGTTGCTTCTTAAAAGTCTCACACAGTTCCACCTGCATCCCGTCAGCCAGAAATTAGTTGTATGACCCACATAGTCGCAAGGGAGGCTAGAAAATGTGGTCTTTATTCTGGGCAGCCATGTGCCCAGCTACACACCAGGGGCTCTGTTGTGAAGCAACAAGGGGAGAAGAGATACTGGGGGATCTCTGTCATAAGGAATTAGCCAAAGGTACGAATGCATGAAGGAGCCTGGGCACTGTTATTTGAATTGGCACACTTTCTCTGCTTGTCTAGAAAAGGAAGTTGCACCTGTGTTAGCAGAGGGCAAAGACCTGCAATGCTTACCTGGCGCCAACCAGTACAGGAAAACAGCTCCCCTATGGCGCCAACCAGCCTCCTGTCTGGCTTGATAGGTTTGCAATTATGTCTTTATTAAGGAAGAGCCAAATTCTGATGTCTATTCTCACTTTTTCTTCCACAGATCACTTATAAATCCTATTCTCAGTGATGTCATTCCAGACCAGAACCCACTGGAAGCCTCCAGGTGCTGCAGCGAGGAGGAGCTGGAACCCTTCTCCTCCAGGTGCTGGCTCGTGCTGCTGTAGTTCTCGTCTGTAGAGGACGTGGACCATCCAGGGAATCACCTGCAGCTGACAGAGGAAACCCTGAAGCCCACCAGGCCTGTAGAGACTGGGGAAACACCAGTGCCTGAGGATAGTGGCTTAACTGCCAGAGAACATGGGGCTGAGGTGGAGCCTGGATGACTCTTCTGCCTCTGAGCAATGCTGCTTGCCCTGCTCACAACAACAGTGTCTTAACATCTGCTGAGTTCCCAGGTCCTCTTAGCAGCAGGCAGAGGCATTCGGAGTCCAGATCCCAAAGACACGCTGATCTGGTTTAAATCCGACTGTGCTGTTCATCACCCAGGGGACCTAGGCAGGTTACATCGTCTTTTTGTGCCTCCGTTTCCTCATCTACAGGACAGGGGTATTCTAGTTTCCTGTGATTGCTGTAACGAATTTACAACCTTTATAACAAATTACCACAAATTTGATGGCTTCAAACGACAGAAATTTATTCTGTCACAAACCTGGAGACCAAAAGTCTGAAGTCTCTATCACTGGACTGAAATAAAGGTGCAGGTGGGGCTGGGCGCGTTGGCTCACGCCTGTAATCCCAGCACTTTGGGAGGCCCAGGAGGGCGGATCATGAGGTTAGGAGTTTGAGACCAGCCTGGCCAATATGGTGAAACCCTGTCTCTACTAAAAATACAAAATTAGCCAGGTGTGGTAGCATATGCCTGTAATCCCAGCTACTCGGGAGGCTGAGGCAGAAGAATCGTTTGAGCCTGGGAGGCGGAGGTTGTGGTGAGCTGAGATGGTGCCTCGGCACTCCAGCCTGGGCAAACAAAAGTGAAACTCCCTCTCAAAAAAAAAAAAAAAGTGCAGGTGGGGTCGCACTCCCTGTGGAGTCGGAGTCGCTAAGGGGAGAATCCTTGCCTTGCCTGGCCCAGCTTCCAGCTGAGCCAGCATTCCTTGGCTCTTGGCTTAGGCTGCAGCCCTCCAGTCTCTGCCTCTACAGTCACATTGCATTCTCCTCTTCTGTGCATCCATAATGCCCCACGTTTCTCTTATAAGGACACTCTTGATGGCATTTAGGGCCCACCTGGATAACTCAGGGTAACACTCCCACCTCAAGATTTTAAAATTAATCGCACTTGCAAAGATCCTTTTTCCATAGAAGGTCACATTTGACAGGTTCTAGGAATTTGGATCTGATCTCATGGAGTCAGGCACATTGAAATCACTGTAGAAGTGTTGGATTTTATTATTGTCTTTTATTTATCTATTTATTTATCTATCTATCTATTTATTTATTTATTTTTGAGACAGAGTAATGCTCTGTTGCCCAAGCTGGAGTGCAGTGGTGTGATCTCAGCTCACGGCAACCTCCGCCTCCTGGGTTCAAATGATTCTCCTGCCTCAGCCTCCTAAGTAGCTGGGATTACAGGTGCCCACCACCACGCCCAGCTAATTTTTATATTTTTAGTAGAGACGGGGTTTCACCATGTTGCCCAGGCTGGCCTCAAACTCCTGACCTCAGGTGATCTGCCCGCCTCAGCCTCCCAAAGTGCTGGGATTACAGGTGTGAGCCACCATGCTGGGCACTATTATCTCCTTTAAAAGGTAAATGGTACAGAAAGGATAGAGGCAGGGAACTCGGGTCTGCAGATAGCTGGTGCAGAGACCTTTCCACTGATTCTCCAGTCTTGCTACAAAACCTACTTCTGCACTCCAGCTTCCCACTGAAAAGACCTCAGAATCAACATGACTGTCAACTCTTGCAAATCAGCACTCCCAAAATGCTCAGGTGTCCTTTCAAAATGCCTGCCCTTTGGCTGTGCTTTCATTCCATCTCCATTCTCCCTCTCCACGTTTTCACCTCGGTCTGCATTGATATTTATCTCTTCCCCTCAAAGAAAACTAGATCTAGTCATAGCCAATAGAGACAGCGTTGTGAGAAAGTAATTACAAGACCTGAAAGATGTATATGTTTTCCTAAACTTTGGAAATGCAGGGGGATGACAGAGGAAGAGTGTATATGTGTGTTGTATATAAGTATATGTGTTTTGATAAATATAATTTTCTGAATTATCAGAATAGGCTAGATTAAATAGACTAGATTAAGTTACTTATCCAAGCTCATACAATTTCAAATTGACCTCCAAATTTCAATGACTCATTACAGTAGTTTTTTCTTATTCATGCCCCTGCCAATGTGGTCTGTGGGTAGAGAAGTCCTCTGCTCCGTATGGTCACTCAGGAGTCCAGGCTGATGGAGCACTGCTGGTCACTGTGGCAGAGAGACAATGCCCTTTGTCCAAGAGCACACAGCACATTGTCACTGTATTCACAGCACATTGTCCATGACTAACTGCAAGGGGGCAAGGAAGTCGGGGAGGTCACATGGCTATTTGGTGAGCCAGAAATATCTCTGCTACAGTGACATAGAGAATTGAAATGTATTCCTTTTCTGTCCTAGAATAGCTTCACAGGGGAAAAAGGGTCTAAGCCATAGGAATTCAGAGCTGCAGAAATATGAATGAACTGCTTCCATTCATATTTATGTCCATTCATTAAGTATAAAGGATATTATCAGACTTGCATTGCCTTTTATGTTTCTACCGTAAGTACTTCCACCTATATTCTGACAGACTTTTAAAAATCAAGAAGATACCTTTTCTCCTTAATTTTTCCTGAAACAACAGGCAGACTTTATCCTAATTAGGAGAAGCAATATGTGAAAGCTAAAGTTTCCTCCTGTGCCATGCTCTGGGGGTGGGGGTAGAGATCGTCCGCACTTGTTCACCAGTGTGTCACTCCCACCCTCCCCTGCTCTCCTCAGCCAGCCGCTCCCTCCCCACAGCTGTCCCTTAGCGTGTATTCAGTACTAGCTGAAATCTGATAACTGGGTTTGCAATTCATTTTTTGAATGGAAGGTACAAAAAGCACTAAACCTGAAACTTAGAAGTAAAAGAGACTTTTTTTTTTGTATGCCACCACGAACTGCTTGAAATCATGTCCCCAGATCCTCTTTTCCCTCCAATTTGCAGAGTCCCAGTTAAAGCATTGCTCTTCTGAGCACCGAGGACTTGGTAAAAGGACTCTCAGAGGCAGTGGAGAGAGTTCTGCTCTGCATCTAATTTGGGCCAAAGGAGTCAAGTGTCTGTGACCTTGACGCTGGGGATGGGGTGTGGAGTTATTTCCCAGGACACCTGATTCCCTATAAACCCCAATCATACCTTCCACTGAATAAATGATAGCACAACCCTCATGCGGGGCCCTGCAAGACGTTTTGATGTTTGGGCTAGAAATTGCTGAATTTAGAATGGCGGGTTTCCAGATCTGTGATTCTAAAAGAGAAAGAGTCAAGAAAAAAAAAAAAAAAAGAGAGCTTCTCAGAAATAAAATCCCAAGCAGAGAAATATGAACGAGTCGGGGGCCCGAGCAGGGCGCGCTGCCGGAGCTGCATAGGTTGCGCTGCCGGCCACGTCCCCGCGCTGGGCCGAGGTCTCCTTCCTACAGTCCTAGGGCCGCCGGGCCGCCGCGGGCCTGCTGAGCCCAATGCGTCTATTACCAGAGTAGAGAGTCTGCCATCATCTCACATGTGCCACAAAGGATGGCATGGCCCGGGAGTGCCCCACCACGTGGCTTTCACCCCCTGCAAAGCCGGACCTCGCCCAGTGACACAGTGTCAAGCCCGCAGCTCTCCAAGGAGGAAGACGGCCCAGGCTGGGGGCATGCCCTCAGCCGCGGCCTCTGATCCCTTGGCCAAGCAGGAGAGAACTATTAGCAGCCTGAGGAGCTGGCTGGCTGGGAGCCTCAGGGACTCGCACAACCTTGCTCCCAGCTCACGCTCAAGATGTGGACAGCTCTTGTGGTCATTTGGATTTTCTCCTTGTCCTTATCGGAAAGTCATGCAGCATCCAACGATCCACGCAACTTTGTCCCTAACAAAATGTGGAATGGATTAGTCAAGAGGAATGCATCTGTGGAAACAGTTGATAATAAAACGTCGGAGCAATAAAACTTCTGCCTAACCACGGCAGCAACTTCTCCTGTCACGTTGACCAAAGGGACTTTGGCAGCCCACCTCAACTCTACGGAAGTCACAACAGAGCACACAAGCAGGACAGACTTGAGTGAACCAGCAACTTCAGGAAGTGCAGCTGATGGTGCGGCCTCCAGTACTCCCACGACTGCGGCCTCCAGTACGACTGCGGCCTCCAGTGCTCCCACGACTGTGGCCTCCAGTACGACTGCGGCCTCAGTACGACTGTGGCCTCCAGTGCTCCCATGACTGCGGCCTCCAGTACGACTGCAGCCTCCAATGCTCCCACGACTGCCGCCTCCAGTACGACTGCAGCCTCCCATGCTCCCACGACTGCAGCCTCCAGCACTCCCGCGACACTGGTACCCGTCATGCCCATATCCACATCCGCTACTGCCACTGGGCATCCATCTCTCAGCACAGCCCTGGCACAAGTGCCAAATAGCAGCACGGTGCCAAGAACAGCAACCCTGGCCACGTTGGCCACACATGCTCAGACTGTGGCCACCACAGCAAACACGGGCAGCCCCATGAGCACTCGGCCAAGTCCTTCCAAGCACATGCCCAGTGACACCACGGCAAGCCCTGCAGCCCCTACGCGTCCCCAAGCACAAGGTCTCATTAGCCAGGTGTCAGTGGACCAGCCTGTGGTTAACACAACCCCAGAGCCCACCCCCAACCTCACAGTGGTGACCACCACCAAGGCACAAGCCAAGGAGCCAACTGCCAGCCCAGTGCCAGTGCCTCACACCAGCCGAATCCCTGAGGTGGAGGCCACGTCCCCCACGACACAGCCAAGCCCCACGCCATACACCCAGAGAGCCGCTGGGCCAGGCACACCCCAGGCACCGGAACAGGTAGCGACTGAAGCCACACCAGGTACTGATTCCACTGGGCCAACACCCAGGAGCTCAGGGGGCCCTAAGATGCTAGCCATGGACTCCTGCCAGCCCAGCACCCAAGGCCAGTACCTGGTGGTCACCACCGAGCCCCTCACCCAGGCCAAAACTATCCTCCTGGTGGTGCTGTTACTCGGGGTGACCCTTTTCATCACAGTCTTGGTTTTGTTTGCCCTGCAGGCCTGTGAGAGCTACACGAAGAAGGACTACACCCAGGAGGACTACTTAATCAATGAGATGTATGTGGACTCGGAAATGTGAGGGGGTGGGGCCTGGCGGGAAGCCGGGCCCCTTCCTTGTCCTTTCCTTTTGCCTTTGAGACCAAACCAAGTACTTCCAAATTCTTTTGGTGCAATTTAGGAGATATGCCAGATGCTTAAACACATTTAATTGCTGTCAGGTTAATTCCATGATCACCAAAGAGTTGCTGCTTTTTTCAAAAAAAAAAAAAAAAAGAAATATGAATGAGTCTATTGTTGGGGAAAGGGCACCTTTGGAAGCCGATGTGCGTCCTGCTGGTTCTGCCCTGTGGTCTCTCTTTCTTGGATCAGGCCTGCTTCCTCCTGGTGTTCCACAGGCCTAGAGTGAGGTCCTGTTCCGGTCCTCATCAGACCTACACCCGCCATGCTTTTGGTTTCTCTCTTCTCCAAATCCCTGGCTGAGTTGGACAGTCCTGAGGCTCAATTTTTTTCCTGCCATTCCTACAAATCTGCATCCAACCCCTCGGGCATAAGGTATTTTATTGGCAATTCACTGAGAAAAACAGAAGAGGGTCAGACTTATGCAATGATGGAGAAATCCCAGAGGCGGCCAACATCTCAGGGCCTCAGAGCAGCCATTCCCAGAGGGGACAGCAAAGTCGGCTGCCCCCTGTCCCTGCCCCCTCCTTTATTGTCCCGTTTGCTCCACCACAGCCTCCCTCTGCTCCAGCACCTGGGTGGCTCTCCTCGGGATGGGAGTGGCTGTCCAGGTGTGGAAGGCAGTAGTGAAAGCACAGGTGCCGTTGGAGTGTCCCAGATGATGATTCACATCTCAGGGAACTTCGGATGAGAGGTTTAACTTCAATGAAAGATTTTTCTCCCCAAAGGAAAGTCACCTTCAGGTGCTTCCTCATAGGACCTTAATGGATAGATACACGCTACAGAGGGCCCATCAGGGAGCTCACATTTTAAAGGTGGGAGGAGGGAGGCAGAACAGAACAGCATGTTAAAGAGGCCATGGGACCTTCAGCCTAAGTGGTACTTGCTAAGTCAGATGCCCAGAGCAGGCCAGGCAACAAGACAGAGCTGCCCTGGGTCCATATGGCATCTCTGTGTCATTGATGCAATGGGGGCGTTCTTCTGGGACAGGCATCCCCGGTTGGGGCCACTGCTCAGCAAGCAGAGCCTGAGCACCTTCCAGGCCCCGGTACCATGGCAAGGAGCCTCGCACGTGACACACCTGCTCTCTGTGTGCGGTGCCCGGGTATGGCAGCAGGGAGGACCATGAAGTTCACTTTCACTGGGGCTGTCACTCAGCCACATGCCCTATGGGCCTGACGTTGTCAGATCTTTCCATTTTGCAAGAGACACTAAGGTTCAGACTGTAATAGGAACTCTCCTGATTTATAAACATAGGCGGCTGTTTAAAATATTTTAAACATCACGTGGGCCCAATGAAACAATGAGTAGCTTCCGAAGCAGAAGGTCAGGAAGTCCAGGCCCCAAGTGTGCTCAGGCTTGAGGGAAAGCCCTTAAGGTGACAGCGGTGGGATTCTAGAGTGTGAGGCAGAGAAGAAAGGCAAGCGAAGAAGCTCTAGGCCTTTCGCTCGGGGTGGACCATGAGGAAAATGAACTGTGGGAATGCTCTGCTTTTTCTTGTTTCTGTGCCTTCTATTATGAGAAAGGCAGGAGGCTGGGCCTGGTGGCACACGCCTGTAATCTCAGCACTTTGAGAGACTGAGATGGGAGGATTGCTTGAGCCCAAGAGTTCAAGATAAGGCTGAGCAACATAGCAAGACCATATACAGAATAGATAGGCATGGCGGCACACACCTGTAGTACTAGCTACTCAGAAGGCTGAGGTGGGAGGATTGCTTGAATCCAGGAGTTTGAGGCTACAGTGAGCTGTGATCACATCACTGCACTGCAGCCCGGGAGACAGAGCAAGACTCCATCTCTAAAAAATAAAATTAAAAAGGAGGAGAGCTGGAGAGGGTGGAACAGGCTAAGAGGGAAAGGAAGGTTCACACTGAAGTAGCACTCAGCTTCTGCAACAGTCCAGACTTCTGGCCTAGCAAGGCCATCATAAGAGCTGACACATTAGTGTAGACAAAACGGCAGACACCATTTTAGGCATTTCAACTCATTTAATCCCATCAACATCCCTATTCAACAGGTCTTGGTATAATCCTCACTTTACAGATGAGTACATTGAGACACAGAGAGGTTAAATCACTTGCCCAAGGTCACACAGCTAGCAAACGGCAGAGCTGGGATTTGCACCCAGGCAGCCTGGCTCCAGAGCTCATGTTCTTAGCCACTACCTCCGCTCAGCATGAGAAACATGGCAGACAACACTCAGCTTCAGGGGACATGGCAGACAACATTTATCTTTGAGAATCCTGGGGAAACAGAGGGAACCAGAAGACTGCAGAGAGACATGATGTGTCCTGATTTTTTATTTTGAAAAGCTTTAAATAAGGTATATTCATACAAAAATACAGACAATAAAACAATGACATACCTGTGTACCCACCGCCCAGATTAAGACGTAAACGTTTCAGTTATTTGTTGCCTGTGGCCCTTCCACACCCATTTGTTCCCTCCTCACTTCCCTGCCTGTTTGTACAATTTTGCCACATCTGTGTATATTCATAAATGGCATATCGAATAGTTGTGCAAGTTTTAAAACTTTATATAAATGGTACTACACACACACACACACACACACACACACACATTTTTTGGGACAGGGTCTCAGTCTGTCACCCAGCAGACTGGATGCAGTGGTATGCTCACAGTTCACTCCAGCCTCAACCTCCAGGGCTCAAGTGATCCTTCCACCTCAGCCTCCCCAGCACTGAGACTATAAGCACGCACTACCACGCCCGGCTAATTTTAACATTTTTTATACCTAGTTTTGCCATGTTGCACAGGCTAGTCTCAAACTCCTGGGCTCAAGCAATCCACCCACCCACCTCAACCTCTTGAGTAGCTGGGACCACAGGCTCACACCACCACATCCAGCTAATTTTTAATGTTGTTGTTGAGATGGGGGGTCTCATTATGTTTCCCAAGCTGGTCTCAAACTTCTGGGCTCAAATGATCCTCCCACTTCGACCTCTCAAAGTGCTGGGATTACAGGTGTGAGCCACCATGCTCACCTATACTATATTTTATGTAACTCATTTAATCCCTTCAGCAACATATGTAACTCATTTATGCCTTCAGCAACATGTTTTTTGAACCCTGTGGTTTTGAGATTCATCTATGTGACACATGAATTTTACATTCACTTATTTTTGTACACTTTTTTATTAGAGCGTAATATCCATTAATAAAATTCACAAATCTTAAAGGTGCAGCTTAAGGAATTTTTTAAAGTGGTTACACCCATGGAACCATTATTTGTTTTAAAAAATTAAGCAATTGGTTACCAGGACTTAGAAGCTTTCCTTCCCCCTCTTTCATGTTCATTCACTTAAATTGCTAAGTAGTATTCCATTGTGTAAACATATTATGATTTCTTAATCTGTTTTTAAATTATAAACATGTAAGTTGTTTGCACCATTTCTCTTAATAAACAACGCCGTTGGAACATTTGAGCTTATCTCCGGTGTGTACCTGGGCGTTGTCTCGCTGAGGGGTGGGGTCTGCGCTTCACTTGCTGTTGTTCGCCAGAAAGTCCCGATTCTCACTCCACTGCAGTGTGTAAGGGTTCCCTTCCTCCACATTCTCACAGCCCTCAGAACTGTCAGACTTACAGAGTTCCTAAAATAAAGGGTGTGAAATTGTTGCTCACCATGATTTTAATTCATGCTTCCCTGATTACAGATGAAGTTGAGCATGGTTTTGAATTTTTATGGGCCATTCAGTTTTCCTCTTCTGTGAATTGCTTATTCATGTCCTTTGCCAGTTTTTCTATCGGGTTGTTTATCTTTTTCCGCTTGATTTACAGGAGTTCTCTACATAATCTGGGTACTACTACTCTCACATCAGTTATAGATCAAGGTGTGGTGCTTTACTTCAGTTTCCCAAAGAGGGAAGAGGATTAGTTTTAAGAGCTACAAGCCATTGAGTTTGTAATAAATTTCTAGCAAAATTCTAGAACAGATTATTAAGTGGATGATTTGTGAGCACTGAGAATGGAAAGTTGTGATCATGGGAGAGACCCACATGATAAGAAACAAGTCATTCCGAACTCTCAGCCTTGCCTTGGTAGGATTTCAACTTCCAACCACCACCATTTGGGTGACACTCTTAAATTATGAGCCACAAAGTGCTTTACATATATCATCTCACAGCAGCCTCTGAGACTGCTGTCATCCTCATCTTTATTTTATGGACAAGAAGAGTGAGGCTCTCAGTTAATCAGCAGCACGATGAATGAGGAAGCAGCCTGGCCTGGTAAACCAGAGAGTGCTGATGTATCTGTGCTGCAATTTCAGCAAGGCCTTGGACCTTGGCGTTGTCGACATATGGAGAATTGTGGACTGAATCATAGACATCAGATGGGCACAGTTACTGTGTTCTGTGAGTGTTGGTCTTACAAGAATTTTCTAGAGACCTGCACCTGGGCTCTGTTCTGATCTAGTCAATAAGTTCACCAATGTCTTCTTAGAAAGCAGAGGCAAGGCTGGGCGCAGAGGCTGACACCTGTAATCCCAGTACTTTAGGAGGCCAGGGCAGGAGGATTGCTTTAGCCCAGGAGTTTCAGACCAGGTTGGGCAGCATAGTAAGAACCTCTCTGTACAAAAAAAAAAAAAAAAAAAAAAATTAGTAGGGTATGGTGGCACATGCCTGTTGTCCCAACTACTTGGGACACTGAGTTGGGATGATCACTTGAGCCCAGGAGGTTGAGACAACGGTGAGCCACGACTGTGCCGCTGTACTCCAACCTGAGTGACAGAGTGAGGCCCTATCTCAAAAACAAAAGGGGAGTTGGGGATAAAACAGGATGACTAAAAGAAGCAACTAGTGTGTGCCACTATCATGAGGAGAAATAGGCGGGAGGAGTAAATACAGCACCTACAACTGAAACACCCAGGTACATGCATTTGAATTCGTCATGAAAACAACTCAAACCATGGAGAACAGAGAAAACCAATGCAAGATGACAGCACAGCCAGGAACAACATGGAGCCAGGGGAGCCTCCCCTGCCTAGGGAAGTGGCGAGTGAATGAGCAACCCCAGGGACCCATG